AGATTCTTAATGTAATGGCTATAAACTCTCGTTTAATAAAAGTCTCGCATTTAATGCCTGTTTGCGATTAAAAAAAATAATAATAATAATAATAATAATATTTAAAGAAACCAATTATATTATAAATTTTATTATTTATAGATATTTTTTATTTAATATAATTATAGTCTTTTTAATTATATTTTTAACTAATTTTATTTATTTTAACATTTTTATTTTCTAATTTTAAATAAATAATTTATAGTTATTCAATATTATTTAATAAATAATTTTTTATGTTAAAAATTTTTTAGTATTAATCAACTGGTTTTTATAAACAAGTTAGTATTTAATTATTATATTTGCATATAAAAGATGTTTTTTTCATGTATTATACAAATAAAATAAAGAAATAATATCTATCTACTTAAAAAATAAAATTAAATTCAAATTCTATTTTTCAAATTTAATATTTATTTGTATATTGCTATTTTAAAGCCTATTTTCAAAAAAGTTTTATGATTTTTACAGAGATTGAATAACTAATAAATAAAAAGAAAAAAAATTTTTTTTTAAATCATAAATTGACATTAAATTAAATACGTGATTTTTATTAAATAAGAGTTTATAGCCATTACATTAAAGGTTTTTACATATATAGGTTAATTCTAGCCTATTGCAACTTTTTCTGTTAATACCAACTTACATCAAGTAGGTGGGCCCATGCTAACAGTATAAATAAAAAGAATTTTTATTATGTTTTTATTTATAATTCAAACCAATAATTTGAAATAAACCTATAAATTAATTATTAAATAATTTTTTACTATTACTAATTTAAATGGCTTCTAAAAAATATATATTCAAAGTTTTCGATTAGTTAAAATATCATTTATTAAATTATAATAAAAAAATACTGGAGCAAAAAATTCGGTATATAATATCAACTCAAAACAACCTGTATTTCCAATAATACGCTTTTAAAACGCATCAGTTTATTTAATACATATACAGCATGTGCGTATATGTACTGTATATAGTATAAGTTGATTGCACATTTTGAAAAAAATTTGTTTTTTTTTCAATCGTTAAAAAAAGAAAATTAGAAGAAGCTACGAAAAAATCAAGTTTTTTAAAAAGTAATAGCCTAATTAATATTTGACAAAGTGTGATTTTAAAGAACTTTATTTTTGTATGCATAAAAAGTGTTTTTCGTATGATAACGAAAGAATGCTTTTAATAGAATATTCATTTAATTTAATTCTGATTCAGGAGCCAAACGATATTTTCATAAATATGAACATTTCCATTCGTCAACACGTATTGCATAATATAATCTCAATTTAAATGAACTCATAATTGGGTATAATCGACGCTTTTTTTATCCGAGTGCCTCACGTTCGTGTAACTATAGAATATGATCTTACTTTTTTGTCAAGTCCCTTTTTAAGCATACAATCTCATCGAACTTCCTACATTTACGTCATAAATGAATCGGCCTTATAAATTGAGGAGTTCTTTAAAAATTTCTAACTTCATCAAAATACATACATACACATACACATATACGGTACATAATCATTTTCTCCTATCCAAACATCAAAGGCATGCCAAAAAGATTGACTATCGTGCCTCCACTGTATTCCTTTAACAGGCATGGACGTACCAAAAGAATAGTAATATATTCCATCATCTTATTAATAGTGATGAATTTCTTTGGAATTTTCTTTTATGAAGATGGGTCATCCGTTAATCCTGCAAGTATCTACACAAAGACTTGTGTTGAAGTAATTGGAAGAAAAAAAAGAAAAAAATTTTTTTCCGACATTTTCGTTTTGCGCATACAAAAGGGATCGAAACACGTTGATTAACTGTATTTTGAAATTTACAGAAAAATGGTAATGCATTCACGCATTCTAATACCGATCTTAACTTTGAGCACGATAGAGAAACAAATATAAAGTACTGTGGAAAACCAAAATGTCGATTCCTCTTTGCATATTATCAACCAGAACAGGAAACAAAGGCAAACATGCATTATCGATCATTTATTAGTCTGGCACATGCACTCAATCGTACAATGGTTTTAACAAATGTCGGAAGCTCTCGTATTAACTCTTGCCAAAACCTCTCATTCGATGCTTACTATGATTCCAAAGAGCTTAGAAATACATTCCCCGAAGTTCACTTCATTTCACAGAACGATTTTCAAAATTGGCTAAAAGAACGTGTCATAAAACCAAACACAGAACATGCTTACATATTACCCGGACAAAAAAATTTTAGCGTTGAATCGATCAAGCCTTACCCTGACATACTCAAAAAGAAAAATTGTCTTAGTCGGTTCGATTTTCGTCTTGACGACACCACCACTTTTAAGCAATTCTATACTGAATCAAAATTTTATTCCAATATCAAAAAACATACCGCGTTTGCAAACTTCTTAGTCGATAATCTTAGATCAGACGTCGAGGTTTTGTTAACATCTCATTTCGTTTTCCATCCATTATTTCCCAAAGACACTCCACCGATACCTTATGCGCCTTACATATCTGATGAAGCTGCAAAAATTACAAATAAGATTAAGCCTTACATCGCCATCCATTGGCGTATGGAACGTGCCAAAATTGATTTATTACAAGAGTGTGCACAATCTCTCGTGGAAGCTGTTAACTCTTTGAAAGAGACTCACGGAATTCAAAATGTTTATCTTGCTACTGATTATCCAACCGGAGGTGGAAAAACTCAATCCTCAACTTTCCACAAGCTGACTGGAAATCATCACAAAGCAATGGAAATTGTAAACTCGGAATTAAATGTTTACACATGGGTATCAATGGATATATTCTCGAATATTAAAAAGGACGAATCAATGGAAAAAGAATTCCTAGGAGCTGGCATCTCGGGCATTGTAGATAAACTAGTGTGCATAAATTCCGACTATTTTCTCGCAACACCAAAGGGATGTGGAAGAGAGAAGAGTACTTATACTACAATGGTTATAGATTCAAGGAATAATTCGATTTTAGCAGGAGACAAGCCGGAACTCAAAAACATTGTTATGCGATGGCCTTTAAGATCGTCATCCTAACCGCGATTATCAATTATTTATTAATATCGAGATGTAATTTTGACGAGAATACGGGCGTCATAAAAGACCAATTTATTATACTGTACGTACCCACTTACATGATAGAGTATTATATAACACACAATTGTATTGATGGGTAAAAACGACAAGTTTTCGGCCAATCGATGTTACATTCAAAAGAGGTAATCGAGATGTTACGTGCTTTGCGCGATAATATGTATGTATCTTGTAATCCATATATGAATCGTCGATCCTTTCCTTATCGAAGATTTTAATTGTACGTAAAAACTATGGAAATAATTTGTACAACTCGTTAAATATCTCGATGTGTTAGATATTTAGTTATGATTAACGAATATTGAAAAGTATACCTAGTAATTAAATATTTGAATAATTATTTTTAAAAAATATATATATTTTTTTTTATTTCAAAATTAACATTGTTTATAATCAAAAAAGATAATTCATTGATAAGATAACATACAATAAAAAAGTTTTTTATTTGATTTTTGAACTTGGTGTTTTTTACAAACTTTTTTTTTTTTTTTACTATTTTTAAAATAATTAACTTATATAAAAAAATAATATATTTATTAATAAATTCTTAAATTTTATAATATACACTTTAAAATTTTTTATTATAATAACAAAATTTAAATAACATAATATTTAAAAAAATCAATGTTTATTTGATGATAACTTTTTTATATCCAGATTATAAAGAACCTATTATTATAATATATTTTTTTATTTAAATAATAATTTTTAATCAATATTCAATATTTAATAAAATAATTAAACTAATATATAGAATTATAATCAATATTTTTTTTTATGTTTAATATTAATAATTAAATTAAAATATTTATTAAACTTTTATTATCTTTATATAATTCTATATAAAAATCAAAATATAATATAATAAATATTTTATTTTTTATAAATATCAAATAAAACAAAAATGTTATTTACAAATTTTTTAAATCAAAATTAAAACTAATCTCAATATTATTAATAAGTTTTTTTTTTTAAAAAAATAATATTTAATTGAAATTTTTATTTCAAATAATTTTAATTATATTTTTCTATATTTTTAATTTTAATTATATAAATATTTATAATTGTTAAGTTTGAACTCTTTCTGCTGATCCCCTTGCCAACACAAAAAACAGACGTTCCAAGGAAATTTTTATATTTCTTTGTAATAAAGTCTATATACTTTTATTAACAACACACATATCAAGAAGCATAGTCTTCCCCACTTGTTTCTTTCTTTCTTTGATATAAACTTCCTGTATTTCTGCAAGTAAATATAAGAAACTTCTACCTACAAAGTTAAAGGCAAGAAAACTTTGTTAGGAAAAAGAACCTGTAAAAAAAATACCATCCTCTCTTTCTCCAGAAATTCAAGACTCTAGAAAAGACTGGCATAGGTTTCTGAAACTCTTTTTTCATTTTCCTCAAGCCTCTCTCCTATCTTTTCAAGCATGTAAACTTTTTTTTCTGATTTTTCTGGAAAATTTTGTCTACTTCAGTTTGATTCTGAATTTTTTGGTTATATCAGAATCCTTGAATGGTGATTGGCTCAAATTTTGGACTGGTTGATCTGCACGTAGCAAGAAATGTAAACAAGACACATAACTCTCACGTGCCTATCTCGTACAACATAAAACCTGATGATGCAATTGGTTATAGCAAAAATATCAAGGTGACGAGGTATCCGTTTTATCAAGATGTACTATGGTGCTCCCCTCTTCTTTTGGACTGGTTTCTTTTTTCTTCAAGATCAAAAGAAGTCTCATTTCAATTCAGTAATAAGCTTCCTTCATTGTTGATTATCCCGAGAAGGCATCAAGCAATAATTTCCTAAGGTATAAATCTTGTTTCAAGCAATAATTTCTTATGGGTATAAGACTTGTTATAAGTACCTTGAACGTTTTTGGTCAGCAATAAAATAGTGGAAATTAAATGGTTTACCCAGCTACAGGTGATGATAAAGGATTTATTCTGATGAATCAAAGTTAATATTGAAGAGTTTTTATTTACCAGAACAAATTTTTCAATTATTCTTTTTTATTTCCCTTTTCTTTTTTTAAAAAATAAAATTTTTTTTACTTCTTAGGACCATAGGGTCATTCAAAGTAACAGTCTGAATGTAGGCTGGCTGAGATCTTTCAAGGCATAGTCTTTAATATCTAGTTTTGAAAGGGAGCAACTTTTTCATTCCTGATGATCACATCTAGAGAGTTTAGATTTTGAAAGTCTAAGATAGTTAATACCATGTAATAATAGTTTAATGAATCTACTCTCTTGTAATGAAATAGTTAGTAAATAGTTAAATCATATGGACAACATGATAGTCTTGGTATTAATAATTCAAGAATCATATACAAATCTAAATTCATTGACGAGTGTTCTGCAATTACGAGATAGTTTAGCTTTAGTATAGTATCATGTATATTGTACTACTGTTTTCCAAAATTGGATGAATAAGCGCAATTTTTGCAGTCTGATTAGAGGCAATATATATATATATATATATATATTTATAATTGTTTAATATTATTTAACAATTATATTAATTTAAAAAAAAAAATTTTTTTTTTGAAAAGAGCAAATGACTATCACGCTTTATTATATTTATTATACTTTCACTTACAAAACAAGATACAATATTAATAGTACAATATACATCTGTCTTTTTTTACTAGGAAGAGTTTAATATAAGACTCTCAAAAGAGATCCAATCCCTATATTTTTTTGATATCACTTAAGAAATATAGAAAAATAGAAATTTCAAAATCTATATTATTGCCTTAAATGGTGTTTTGCTATCTAAAGATAAATAAATACCTAATTATATGAAGGTACTGTAGCCAATCTATATAGATTAACCTTCAAATTATAATTAGGATTGGCAAGTCTGCTTTTCAAATATGGCTTGATATATAGCAAATGAAGTAGTATTGGGAGTGGTAAGAAGTGAATACATTTTTATATAAAAATGTTGTAACTACTTTATACAGGTTTGCCTCCAAGTTACAAAAAAAATTCGATACACCTATGCTTCAAGCATATAAAAAAATTTTTTTTCTGTTGCAAACAAGTATTAAATGCAAGACATTTATTAAACATAAATTTATTGTCATTATATTAAGAATCCTATATCACCTCATTTGGTGGAAGTTAATTCTAGTCTATCGCATGAAAAAACCTTTAATTTGTAAGAACACCAAGTAGGTGGTAACAAACTATCAATGGTCCATGAATGGCTAATGCCTATTTATGAACAGCTAAGTTAAGGTGAGTGGGAATATTTTTTTTAGTAATATAGAAAATTTTCAGGAATTTGGTTTTAATTTGATAAGTTTTTATTAAGTCTTTGTGTGATTTTGTTGTTGTTGTCATTTTTAATAGGTTAATATCAGTTTGGTTCTTGTTGGATTGAAGTATCAGAATTGAATTGGCTGTTGGGATTGTGTAGATTGTTTGGAAAGGTTGAGCTGGTTTTGGTTTTTGATTTTAAGAAAATTTTTGATGTCGTTGAGATAGTGCAGTAAAGCATATCATGTTGTCATTTTTGAAAGGGTTTGGTTGAGACAAGTAAGAGAACTCAAAATTTTACTTGAATATACTTTTAGGAATAAATTGGCGATGTTGAAAATAGTGAGAAGAATAATTATTATAAGAATAATAAAGGAGGAGGTGCATAAAGACAAAGTTAAGAAGAAAGACTGCCATGGGTCTTTTCCTATGTAACCAAAGAACAAACAAGACTCCCAAACTTGTTTGGCCTTTGACCAGAGATCCCATTCCAATGCAACAATGGTTCTTAAAGTCCTTATATCCTTGAGCTTATGGCATATTTGGTATATTGAAGAAAGAGAGGAAAGTGTTTCTTTCAAGAAAATTACCATAAAAGAAAATTTTCAAGAAATCAGTGGTGAACGAGTGAGAGTTTTTTTTTTTTCCATATATAATTTTATTATTATTTGATTTTATAATAAACTCATATTTTAATGCTGCGAGCAACCCAGCCATTGACAGACCGCACAATAGCAAACTTACTAACACATGGAAACCAGAGGCAGAACT